TTTTTTTTTATTTTTTTATTTTATTTTATTTTTTTTTTACATGAATATACCACAGAATAAAACTATGTTGACCAAATTTAATTGATGTACCATTTACCCATGCACGTGTAAGCTAAGGCTGTAGCAAAAACTAACACCCCCAACAGCTAAGACCTAAGACCTGAAAATGAAGACCCTTTATTTTCTTTATTTAATATGATCTTGTTATGGTTTCTCACTGGACATATTCCGCTCTGGTTTTAATGTTTCTAATAGCAGTAAAACATGCAGACCCAAAAAAGAAGACCCGAAAACCTGAAACAAAGACCCGAAAACCCGAAAATGAAGACCCCCTCTGTTTTGTTTATTTTTTAAAAACAACAAAAGTACTGTTTTTGAAGCTCTTTTGAAGTTTGCATCAAAAAATTTGCTGCTGGTGTAAAATGTGCTTGAGGTTGTTACATTCCACATAAATGAACAGGGTTTGGCAATTTTCCTCCAGTTTTCATTTCACACTGGTTCGGCCAGGAAAAGTACCATTATATTATAGTACCACACTCAAAGATGAAGGCCGTTTGAGAAACAACAACGAAACAAGAATCCAACAGCTCTCATATGGTAACCATTGAGCGGAATTAAGGGAATACATGTAAAACCGGTGTTTGATGGTTGATGGTTTGATGGTACAGTACTTTACCGCTGTTAAAAAGAAAAAAACTGGAGCTGGACATGTCACAGCCGACCTTTTTGATATAAATGATACCGTGCAATCAGTCGACCTTATCGCCTGAAGAAGACTAGCAGTAAGCAGTCAAAACGTCGCGATCTACATCTCAACTGACTACATCGTGAGACAAACGATAAAAACGTCTTGTTAAAGAAAGAAAATAGGGGAGTCTTCGTTTTCGGGTCTTAGGTCTTAGGTCTTAGCTTTCGGGGATCTTAGGTTTCGCTACAACCTGTAAGCTAACGTGAAAACGTTTAAGCTTCAGCTCAAAAACACCGCCAAGCAATTGTTTACAAGTAAATACACTTGAGTTCAAGCAAAGCTTACGACAATAAGAACAAGTTAGTTTCAGTGCAATTTTGCCTATCTCATTGGGAATTTTTACTATTAAAAAGCAAATTGAGGTTTAAAAAAATTAGCTTCAAAACTCAAAACATAGAATACATACTTCTCAGTAGAACTCTGGGACTTGCAATTGCCCCCAATCTCAGCAGAGAACGAACTTTCGAGGACGCCATTTTGAGAACGTGAAGGCTCTGGTGCGGTTGCTCTCTGTGAGAAGCCGCTGCCTTTGTTCTAAGATGCGCAGGCTCGCGCAGGGAAAATTTATGTCCCCACACCACACCAGTAATCATTGTTTTCACTGACTGCATCTAGTATGGCGGGATGATGGGCAAAAACCCGAGAAGAAAAGGTACGGGAAGAGGAGAGTTGAAACTCCCTGCCACCCCTCCCTCAATATCAAGTCTCATGAACTGTCCTCGCTATGTCCGACATTTCTTCTGTTCCAAATTCTTAGATCACGGATAAAATCACCGATGAGCTCAAGACCAATTTTGGTTCTCTAAGTCAGCAGTACTAAAAGCTTTTGCTTGATCCCCTAGATCTAAGAAATCTAATCTAAACCAAAAGCATGAATCCGGCAAACAAGATCAATAGCCCTGAGGGTAGGTCACAAATAGCTACTAAATGCACCCCAATGGAATCGGCGTTGGCGAACAACAGGAATGAAACGATCAAGAGCCGGATTCAATCAGTAAACGCCAGACTGTGAGAGGGATTATTATTGGTTAACCCTTTGCGTACCAAGCGGCCATATATGGCCACTTAATACAGTCCTCATTCGATCGGGCCTTAAGAGAGGGATTTGAGGGGCTGAAACTACGACTACATTTTAATGTAGATTACATGAATTGCTTTATTAGTTTTTTCGAGGATTTCTTCCATCGAGCTTGTTTTCGGGCGAATTTTGAGGCTTTTTGTGATTTAAACGTTTTCAACGGGGAGATTTAAAAATGGCGGCTCTTCAAGGTGATGCTGTACTACATTTCGGCGACCAAAACAACGTCGAAATTCAGTTTATCGACGAAGAAGACTTCCCTCTCGCCAGTATAATCGAGCATCAAGCTTCTGATGAGAAGTTTCACT